GTTCCTCTGTTTCGCACGGTTACCGCATCGGTTCAGCAGGCAGCTGTTTGTAAGTTAGACGATTTGCTGTTGCTTTTGCTGTTGCTTTTTGTTTTAACGAAAGACGCGGTTTGAATTTAAACAACGTCTGTTACCAGCGCTGTTTCTTGGATCCGCGCTTGGCCCCCCCGGCGGCGCCTGCGGCGCCGTCCCTGGCGTGCTCCGCGCGCCGCGCCAGGGAGGGGGGTCCAGCGCAGATCTGAAAAATCCGCACGCAGCGCCGAACGTTTGTGATTATGTCGTTTTTCTTGTTTCTAGATATTGGATGTTTCCGCTCGTGTTTGCCATGCGGCTGGGAGCGCAGCAGCATATAGGGCAAGACGGTTCGCTGTCGGATCGTTGTGTCGGACACCGTTGCGCTGCGCGCCCGCACTTGCGTTCCGCTGTGCCGACTTCTGAGCCAGTCCTCTGCGAGGAGTTATTGTAGCATATCAATATGGGTCCGTAAATCCTTCTTCTTCTTCTCGGAGAAGAAGAAGAAGCAGCAGAAGCAACGCCACAAGCATACACTTTTTGTGTTGCGCTCCGCGCGGATTTCTTGGATCCGCGGTGGGCCCCCGAGCGGCGCCTCCAGCGCCGCCCTTGGCGAGCTCCGCGCGCCAGTGAGGGGGTCCAGCGCAGATTCAAGAAATCCGCGCGAAGCACCAAAAGTTCATGTTTATGCCTTTCTTCTCTTCTAGACAATGGAATGGTACACCTTTGCGTAGTTGTAGAAGGTGTTTGCGGTTGACGCGCTCGGCACAGTGGAGGGGGCATCCCTAGGTGGTTGGAGTTCGGTGCCAGAATTTGTGCCCTCGCCCTGTACGATTTCCTCAGGGGACGGCAGAGTCGATCTGGGGTATCAGATTCGAGTTGTACCATATCCCGTGTCGCCGCTGCTTTTTTGGCCAGGACATCCGTCAACGATTCTCCGGACGTGCTTCAGCCCAATGTATGCTTACCCCGCCCGTGTCCGGCGATAGCACGCAGCCCGCGTTGCCCTTCATGGATCCGGCCGCGTCGTATTGAAGGGCTTCTGTGGACAAGCACATGTGGGCGCCGTTCTGTGGATCATCGAGTTTGGGGCACACAGGCGGAAAACAAAAAAAAAAATGTCAGAGGTCTCGGGTCCACCAGACAGCTTTGATCTGATTTTGGTCATAGTGCGACGACGACGACGACGACGACGACGACGACGACGACAACGACGCACTCACCGCCAGAGGTGCGGCGCGGGGAACCGCAGCGGCTTGGAATCTGCGTGGACGCACAGGCCTCCCCAGGAGGAGAGGAGGGGCCAGGGGTGGAGGAGGATGCTGTAAGGCAGCACGTTTTCTTTACGGGTGGAAGTTTCCCATGTGGTTGGGCATCGTACAAGCAACCACTTCACTGGACCGAGCGGCCAGCAGCGAACTTCGAAACGCATTGGCTTAGGGCATAATCTACCCAGTTGGGGGCACAGTTCTCGACGTACTCGGCGGGGGGGGGATAGGGTCGTGGCGTGCCCGATCGGTGGGCACAGGTCGCGACGCACCCAGCTGGATGGTAGAGGGATTGCCAGGAGGAGGCAGGTGGAGCAGGAGGGCAGGCGATGGTCGAGGCATTTGGATGTGTGTTGGGGGCTCGGGGGGTCTGAGGGAGACTCTTCGCCGCCACGGCTGGCGGCCGCGGGCGCCTCACGGGCGTTCCGCGCGCTGGTTGTGTCCGCCAGGGGGCTTTGCCTCCTCCCAGCCTCGTTCTGAGGCTGCGCCCCCTTTCTCCTCCCCCCTCTCTGCGTAATTCAAGCTCTGCGCGGCCCGCTTAGCTTCGACCGGAAGAGGTGCGCTCTCGACCCGCGAATCAAAAATTGTGTCCGCCAGCGACCGGTGGGCGCCTCGTGGGCCCACCCTTGTGCTGGCCGGGTCTGCCGAGGTCTCGCCCCGCAGTGGCCCGCGGGTGCCTCGTGGGCGCGCCCGTTGCGCCGGCCAGGTCCGCCGAGGCGTCGCCTGGTGGGCGTTCGCGTGAGGCCTGTTGCGGAGTGCACTACGTGGCGTACACCGCATGCATGGGACCACAGATGCATCACAGATCTTGCGCGCCCAGGACTGCAATAACGCAGTGTCTAGGGTCCACGCTGGCGGACCTACATATACATGTATACAGATATGCATGTACTTGTTTATATTCATATATATATATATATGTTCAAATGGATTACGCCATTCCGCGCCGACCCCCAAAAGAAGTCAGAGCTTGCGACGATCGTGGAAAAGATCTAGTGGCCTTCGGCCCAACCCGCCACTGTGCCCTGGCTGTGGGTCAGGATCCTCAGAGGATTCTTGGAGGGCTCTTGAGTGTATCTGGGAGGTTTGGGAGCCTTTGGGAGGATTCACCTTTGTTTTCATCAGAATTCAGTGTCATCCGTTTACTCTCATCCGTTTACTTCCATCCGTTTAATTTCATCCGTTGAATTTCATTTGGTGAAATTTCATCCAGTTTGACTTCGCCCAGGTTTAGATTCATCCGATTTTAATTCCCCCAGTTTAAATTCGTGCGGTTTTAATCCCCCCGGTTTAAATTCATGCGGTTTTATTTTTTGCCGTGTGCCACTTTGTGGCTCGCGTTGTTTATTTGGCCCATTCAAACTTCTCCCGTTTAGACTCGTCCGGTTTTTATTCGCCCAGTATACTTTTATGGTTTTGTTTCGTCCGTTTAAATTCATCCGGTTTTAATTTGGCCGGTTAAAAATCATCTTGTTTTAATTCGTCCGATTTAGATTAACCCGGTTTATTTCGTCTGTTTAATTTCATCCCGTTCTAATTCGTCCAGTTTAAACTCCTTTGGTTTTAAGTCGCCCGATCTAAATTCATCCGGTCTTACTTCGTCCGTTTAATTTCACAGGTTTCTAATTCGTCCGGTTTAAGTTGATCCGGTTTTAATTCGCGCGGTTTTTAATTCATCAAGTTTTATTTCGTCTGGTTTAAAAACTTATCCGGTTTTACTTCGCCTGGTTTTATTTTAATTCATCCAGTTTTAATTCGCCAGGTGTAAAATTCTCCCAGAGGGCGTCCCGTGTAGGAAACGGCGCGTTGAACTCGGAATTCGGCCGAAGCCGAAAAGTAGGGTTTGGGAGACGGGAACGCGCGAGCTGGAATCGGAATGACGGGCGCTGGATTCTGAAAGTTGGCAGCCGGAAGCAGGAAATTGAGAGACGGAGCCAGAGAGACGGGCGTCGGAGTCGGAAAATTCGTAGCTGAACTTAGAGAGATGGGAGTTGGGATCGGAAAGTTGGGTGTCGGAGTCGAAAAATTTGGAGACTGAGTCGGAGAGTTGGGAACCGGAGTCGGAGAGATGGGAGCTGGAATCGGTTGGGAGCCGGAGTCGAGGAGACGGGCGTCGGAGTCGGAAAGTTGGGAGTTGGATTCGGAGAGATGCGAGCTGGGGTCGGAAAGTGGATTGTCGGAGTTGAAAAATTAGGAGACTGAGTCGGAGAGTTGGGAAGCGGAGTCGGAGAGATGGGAGCTGGAATCGGTTTGGAGCTGGAGTCGGGGAGACGAGCGCCGCAGTCGGAAAGTTCGGGGTTGGGGTCAGAAAATTGTGAGCGGAGCGCTCAGGAACGTCCGCGGCGCCCGATACATCCTCCAAATCTGCCAGGTCTCAGAGATGTCCGATTTTCCGAGGCCGGAATTTGTACATGACCACCGCCTGGAGGGTTAGTTTTCGGAGCCTCGGCAGGCGGTGGAGATGGACGTATTCGGGCCCCCAGGGGCCGAACTGTATATCCATATCCACCGCCCGCTGGGGCGCCAGGACGTCGGTTCCCAGGCGGTGGATATGGATAAGTCCCCGCCTCGCAGACTTTCAGGAGGGGGAGAAAGACACACAGACACAATGAATCGTCGATTCCCCGGAAAATGCGGAAAAAGATGGGAAGTGGGGGGGGAAGACAAGAACCTAGAAAACACGGGAAAAGATGGGGAATCTTCTGATTTGTGTGTGTATTTGTTTGTAGGTCCCGCCTTCCTGCGCCATGTCTCCTTAATCAAAGCTGCGCGTAGCCCGCCTAGCTTTTAGCGGAAGAGGTTCGCCCTCGCCCCGCCGACCAAAAAAATGTGTATTTATGTGTGTGTGGTGTGTGTGTGGGTGGTGTGTGTGTGTGTTGGTGTGTGTGTGTGTGGTGTGTGTGTGGTGTGTGTGTGGTGTGTGTGTGTGGTGTGTGTGTGTCTGTCTGTCTGTCTGTCTGTCTGTCTGTCTGTGTGTGTCTGTCTGTCTGTCTGTCTGTCTGTGTGTGTATTGGTGTGTGTGGTGTGTGTGTGTTGGTGTGTGTGTGTGCGGTGTGTGTGTGTGGTGTGTGTGTGGTGTGTGTGTTGGTGTGTGTGTGGTGTGTGTGTGTGTGGTGTGTGTGTTGTGTGTTCTGTGTGTTGTGTGTGTGTGTGTTGTGTGTGTTCTGTGTGTTCTGTGTGTTCTGTGTGTTCTGTGTGTTCTGTGTGTGTTCTGTGTGGTCTGTGTGGTCTGTGTGGTCTGTGTGGTCTGTGTGGTCTGTGTATTATGTGTGTTCTGTGTGTTCTGTGTGTTCTGTGTGTTCTGTGTGGTCTGTGTGGTCTGTGTGGTCTGTGTGGTCTGTGTGGTCTGTGTGGTCTGTGTGATCTGTGTGGTCTGTGTGGTCTGTGTGGTCTGTGTGGTCTGTGTGGTCTGTGTGGTCTGTGTGGTCTGTGTGGTCTGTGTCTCTGTCTCTGTCTCTGTCTCTGTCTCTGTCTGTGCGTGTGCGCGTGCGCGTGCGCGTGCGCGTGCGCGTGCGCGTGCGCGTGCGCGTGCGCGTGCGCGTGCGCGTGCGCGTGCGCGCGTGCGCGCGTGTGCGCGTGTGCGCGTGTGCGCGTGTGCGCGTGTGCGCGTGTGGCGTGTGCGCGTGTGCGCGTGTGCGCGTGTGCGCGTGTGCGCGTGTGCGCGTGTGCGCGTGTGCGCGTGTGCGCGTGTGCGCGTGTGCGCGTGTGCGCGTGTGCGCG